AATAAAGAAAATTAAGTTATTTGAAAGGGCAATTGATTACTAGAACATCTACGCTCGGTTCGCAACAAACAACTGCACCTCCCAGTCGCGAACCATTTCAACTCCCCCTCCCATTCCTCAGACGACATGTCCATCCTGGCCTCCTGCAGTGCCACAACGATGCCACCCGAAGGTTGCAGGAACAGCAACTCATATTCCGCTTGGGACCCCTGCAGCCCAATGGTATCAATGTGGATTTCACAAGTTTCAAAATCTCCCCTCCCCCTACCGCATCCCAAAACCAGCCCAGCTCGTCCCTGCCTCCCTAACCTGTCCTTCCTCCCACCTATCCCCTCCTCCCACCTCAAGCCGCACCTCCATCTCCTAACGACTAACCTCATCCCGCCCCCTTGACCGGTCCGTCCTCCCTGGACTGACCTATCCCCTCCCTAACTCCCTACCTACCCTCACCTTTACTGGCTCCATCCCCGCCTCTTCGACCTGTTTGTTTCCTCTCCACCTATCTCTCCTCTATCCCTCTTCTATCCGCCTCCCACTCTCTCCCTATTTATTTCAAAACCCCCTTCCCCTCCCCCTTTTCTGATGAAGGGTCTAGGCCCGAAACGTCAGCCTCTCTGCTCCTATGATGCTGCTTGGCCTGCTGTGTTCATCCAGCCCTGCACCTTGTTGTCTCGGATTCTCCAGCATCTGCAGTTCCTACTATCATTGATTACTCATGTTACTTAACTATTGATTTGAGAAGAACTACAAGATATAACTTGCAGTAATGTCCCACTGCTTTGATGAGCGACCAAATTTGGAAAAAGTCAGCAGCAGTTTAGAAAATATTTTTATTTATTAGCATTTATTCAGGGAGGATGAATTTCGTGAAGTTTTCTGTTGGGTTCTCTTTCTTTGAAAGCTCCAAAGTTTCACTACAATTTCTGATTGCTTTTTAAAACTTGAGATAATCAAGAGAATAGCTGAATTTTTTTCTTGAGCTACGACATCGCACTGAAAGTGTCAGTTGAGTTTTGCAAGCTTAACAAGTAGTATTTCATTTTTGTTTAATATGTTCATTTCATTGCCGTCTAACACATTTATTAATGCGTATTAACCAAGCACAACCAAGTTGGATGGACCGAAATGATTAGGAAGATTGATTTTCCTTCCTTATGCCAGAGTAGATGGCAGCACAGCCTCCAAACTTTGGTGCATTTTATCAAAATCATGTACTGAGCTTCTTTTGATGGCTGAATAAGCAGTTCTGGAAAGACAAAATCTTCCACATGCGCCACACATGAAGATGTCCCTTGTCAGTGATGCAGGATGATCTCTGCTGACACCTTGTTTGCAGGATTAACATATACTTTGATGCTTCCAAAACCACGTTTTTGTTATTGTGATGAACTCCTCCTAATGACTTGAACATCCACTGAATAACAAAATTACAAGAGAACATAAATGATAGAGGAGCACTTTAGCTTATCACACACGAAAAGAATAACTTACATAATAATGCCATGTCCATTCTCCTTTTGAACTCATCTGAAGTTAATCAAGGAACGTGGCATGGGGCCCCTATTTATTGCCCACTGCAAATTGCGTTAATAGAGGAGATGGTAGTGAGTGGGCCGCTACAGGCTGTGTGGTGAAGGAACTTCACAGTGCTGTTAGGAGATGAATTTCGGGATTCTGACCCAGCAGCAATGAAAGAAAGGTAATATGTTTTCAGTCAGGATCATGTAAGCTTCAGAGGAGAGCTTGCAAACCAGGTAAACATATCTCGAAGTTAACTTGACCTTAGTAGTTTTTCAGCAAGGGAAGATTTTCAGCTTAGAAGTTGCTTGGAGACTTGAAACTCCCAGCAATCTTAAATGAGACATCCGAATTAATCTATCCATTTAAATGTCTGTTTAATAGAATGTCCGTTTCAAAGTAAAATCAATGAATAGCACACGTTAGTTATTGATTATTAGGACATATAATAATTACATTTTAGTCATGCCAACATGCATATATTTTATCACTAGTTATAAATTTGGTTTTCTTTCAAAGTGCCATTCATGCCCTACCCATTGATATACTGTGTTTGGGTTTTCACAAGGCGTTCAACACGATCCATTTAAAAGGTAATTACACAAAGTAGGAGCTCATGGTGTAGGGGTGAGATACCACCATGGGAAGAGGATTGGCTGGCTGGCAGAAAACAGAGAACATGCACAAATGGGGTATTTTTACAAGTTGGCAGGACAGGAGTGGCATTCTGCATAGGTTGGTGCTGGACCCTCAAATTTTGACAATTTATATTGGTGATTTAGATGAGGCAATCAAAGATGTGATGGCTAAATTTGTAAATAACACAAAGATAGGTAGGAAAGCATGTAATGAAAATGGCATATCAAGGATGCAGATCAATATAGCTAGGTTAAGTGAGTAGGCAAAAATCTGGCAGTTAGAATATCATGTGAGAAAATATGAAGTTGTTCACTTTGGCAGGCAGAATAAAAAAGTGGCATCTTCTTTCAACTGTGAATGACAGCAGAATTCTGAAGTGTAGAGGGATTTAGGTTTTCTCGGGCATGAGGCTCAAAAACAGTATGCTAGGGATTAAGAAGGCTAATGGGATGCTGTCCTTTATTCTGAGAAGAATTCGTCATGAAGGTAAAGATGCCACACTTCACTTAAATAGGGCATGGGTGAAACTACATTTTGAATACTGTGCACAGTTTTGGTGTCCTTATTTAAGGAAGGATATAAATACATTGAAGGTGGTTGAAATGAGTTTTACTAGATTGATACCTTGAATGAGCAGCATGCCTCATGAAGAAAGATTGGACATACTGAACTTGTTTTCACAAGAGTTGAGAAGAGCAAGAGGTGACTTGATTGAAGTTTATAAGAATCTGAAAGACCTTGATATAGTGCCATTGGTGACAGTGTTTCTTTTTGTGAATGAGCCATGTACTCGAGGACACTGTTCTAAAACTAGGAGTCACCCTTTTTAGGATCGAGATGATAAGGATTTTTTTCCTCTCAGATCGTTATGCAACTTTGAAACTTTGTGCCTCAGATGGGAGTGAAGGTGGGAATCACTGCATATTTTTGAGGTGGATATGGATAACTTCTTGTTAGACAGGGAAATCAAAGTAATTACTATATTTTAACTGAATCCTTTTGGGAACTATAAATCAATAAGTACATATATACGTGAAGCCAAAACAACTTAAAATATAGAATTGCACGAAACACTGTGTAAATGTACAAGAAATAATATGTGGTGTAAATTTCATGTCTCACTCAGCTGCCTTCTCTCTTGGAGTATACAAGCAATATTTCCAGATTCTGCAGAACATGCCTTCATTTTTAGTAATCCATTCAAGATTAGATTTTTAAAGAGTAGAATCTAAATTATATTTAAACAGGAGCAGACAGCTAATTGCTGTCACAGTACAATTATATTATAGACTGACAAGTGAATTGGAGATTTCCAGGGCACATCACATTTAAAAAATAAGACTGTGCAAATTATTAACTTTACTATTAATATGTCAAATAGGAGCATCATTTTTAAAACTTACCCATTATTTGACACATTTAAGCAGCTTTGAACACTCCTGAACTGTATAAGAAAAACCTGGTGCTGTCCTGAACTTGTAAAGGAAATATAGATCAGACTGTCTGCACGGATGTTCCTTGAGGTCATTTTCCTTATCACGAGGCAGCGTTTCCATTTTACATGTGTGCCTTTATGAGGCACAGTCCAGCTTCTAAAAAAAAAATCATATTGGTTGATATCACTGGAATACAACTACCAGTACTGCTTTGCTGCCACCAATAAACAAGTAATTGTTGAAAGTCATGATTTTCATTGAAGATTTATTAAAATGTATGTGTATATAAGTATTGATTCATTCTATTAACTTGCCTATCAGTAGTGAAAAACAGTTTAAGCAGATTCAGAGGTCATTTCAGATTATTCAGAGGATTCATCAACAAATGAAGGTTTTACTGAATTAATTGGAGACTTCCTGTGACATCTATTTCTTACATGATGGTGTCAGTTGTTCATCAAGACAGAAGTGCTAATAAGAGCTTCAAGTTTCACAAAGGATCTTTCCTCAACCATGTGAAATGTTGGACTCATACTTTTTTCCATATAGTCACGTTCATTCTCCTAATTGGGAAGGTGTTTTAATTATGTCTTAGTCGAATCACAAGGGCGTGAATGCATTCTCAGAATAAGTGACATTGTTCAGGATTGAAGGCAAATTAACTTTTGGTTGTGGCTGTTTTTGTAATTGTATCTCAGTGTTCCCAATAGCTTAACTCACTATCTATGATCATAGTATTCAGCAGAATGATCATCATCAATTACCTACTGTGCAGAAAGAGCCCATTCGACCCATTGAGTTTGCACCAACCCTCTGAAATGCATCCTACCCAGACCCCAACCTATTTCCCCACCTCCACATTCACTGTGGCTAATCCACCTAGCCTGCACATCCCTCGACACGATAGGGTGATTTAGTGTGGCTAATCCATCTAATCTGCACATCTTTGGACCATGGGAGGAAACTGGAGCACCTAGCAGGAAACCCACTCAGACATGAGAAGAACATTCAAACTCCACATAGTCACCCAAGGCTGGAATTGAACTCGGGTCCCCAGTGCTGTGAGACAGCAGTGCTAAACACTGTGCCATCATGTTGCCTATGATATAATATTCACAACATTTCACTCTTTTGGAATCGTTGAATTAACTGTCAACTTGAAGTATGCATAATACTTTAAATTTACGAGTAATCACAGGAAAATCATGACATTAATCTGATATTTAGAAACATCAATAATTTAATAGTATTTTAATAATAGCATTGTATCGCTGAAAAATAACATTATGTTGAAATACTGATGCACTTTATGTAAGTATAGAAATATAAATCATTCATTTATTGATGCAGTTCTTATTCAGAGAAAAATAAAAGATGACATTATTTTCCTTTTATGCTTTACAACAGAGCATGAAAAACATCGACTTTGCAAGAGTGCTGATTATATGAATTTGCACTTTAAAGTAAAATGGTTTTATAATGAATATGTGCGAGATCTGCCAGCTTTCAAAGATGCAGTCGCAGAATATTCTTTGTAAGTAACAAAATTTAATTTCATTTTTGTTTATCATGCAGAAAATGGTTCTGTCCCAAAAGCCAAGTTTCGTTTGTGAGCTGATTGGTTGCCCTTACCTGATGGGAGTGGATTTGTTCCATTTAGAGCATTGAATCTAAATTAATCACATTGCCAGTTATCAAACAATCTGATGCAACTTATTTCTTCGTCGTACTGAGGTTGTAAGATTTCATTCTTCTTAATCCTGCATTCAGTCGCAAAATATCCTGAGTGGGGAGGTGAAATCTGCCTTCAGAAATCACGTGGAATAAGCATTTGCCAATTGTCTGTCCATGTATCACACTGGCCAATTTTTGTTCCTGATTTGCTTTTGTCACTAAACTGCCAAGGTTGTCGTGCAGCTCCGCTCCTACTCCTGCCGGTAAACGTTCAGATAAAATTATTAAAATTTTTCTTATCATTATTTATCAGTCCTGCTTTATGCGATTGACTGCATATTCCAAAGCAATAACCAATTCTTCAGTCTCTTCCACCTCTGAATCTCTAATCCCGTTTCTGTCATTTCTCTTAATGAAAGTTTTGCACGATGCTGACACCTTGACGTATTTCATTACTTAAATCTCCATGACTGGCTTACAATGTTTTTGCTTGTCTGCTCTTCGCACAATCAGACAGCCCGCATAATGGGGTTTTGGTGCTCATTAAGCCATAAAACTAATTGTTTCCAGGAAGTGGAAACACTGAGATTATTTAATTTACTCGGTGGAATTGTGTTTCCAGTTTGCTGATTATAGTGGCTTTGAGCGTGACTATCCAGATATAAATGGGACAGCTGCTCATATTGCCTAACCTGGATGAGAAAGGATGATAGTAGTTGGTTTGTAGATGGAAGAAAAACAAAGATGAAGAAATAGATCTTGCATGGATTAGAATTTCATGGCCTATCGTTGATTATTCAGGTAATTTTGGTAGATCGTATCATGTTCATCTTGAAGAAATCTGTACATAAATCTCACTTTCATTCAAGTATTATAGATTTTTCTGATGGGGCAATGGTGTATCAGCTAACTCAATTGCAAAAAGACAATACAAGGCAAGTCTTGGTTGACTTATTTTCTTCTTCCACACATTCTGTTACTGAGATATGGGTGAACAAAAAATTCAGGTTTAGACAATAAGGCCGCAAGAACTTGTGGTAAGGTGGAGATGTACCATAAGACCATAAGATATGGGAGCAGAATTAGGCCATTCAGCCCATTACATCCGCACTGTCATTCAATCATGGCTGATATGTTTCTCAAGCTCATTATCCTGCCTCCCTCCTGTAACCCTTGTTCCCCTTACTCATCGAAAACCTATCCATCTCTGTCTTATATAAACTCAGTGACTTGGCTTCCACAGCCTTGGGTGGCAATGAGTTCCACAGATTCACCACCCTCTGATTGAATAATTTCCTCCTCCTCTCACTTATGATTGGTAATCCCTTCATTGTGAGGCTGTGCCCATGGCTCCGAGACTTTTCTACTAGTAGAAACATCATCTCCACGTCTAATCTATCCAGGCCTCTCAGCATTCAGTAAGATTCCCCACTCATCTTTCTATACTCCATCGAGTACAGACTCAGAGTCCTCAACTGCTCCTCAAATGACAAACCCTTCATCTCCGGGATCATTCTTGTAAACCTCCTGTGGACCCCCTCCAAGGCCAGCACATCCTTACTTAGATACAGACCCCAAAATTGTTCTCAATACTACAAATGTGGTCTGACCAGAGCCTTGTATAATCTCAGTAGCACGTGTCTGCTGTTGTATGCTAGCCCACATAACATGAATGCTAACATTGCATTTGCCTTCCTGATTGCCAACTGAACCCTCACGTTAAGCTTAAGAGGATTCTGGACAAGGAATCCCAAGTCCCTTTGTGCTTCAGATTTCCAAAGCCTTTCCCCATTTAGAAAATAGTCTACGCCTCTGTTCTTCGTACCAAAGTGCATAACCTCACACTTTCTCAAATTGTATTCCATCTGCCACTTCTTTGCCCACTCTCCTGGCCTGGCTGTGTCCTTCCGCAGCCTCCCTGTTTCCTCAGCGGGACCTGTTCCTAAACATATCTTTGTGTCCAATGGATCCGTTGGACCCTCCTCCCATCAGTGCAGTCCTATTCACCCATCACAACTGCAGCCAGAGTCATAAATAGGTAGTTTTTTTTCCCCTGTAACTATGATACATCATCACAGAAACAAGGGCAAGATTTATGAAGGCACCTAATGGCTGACTGGACAGGATAAAGTGTTATTCTTCTTGGGTTTCTCGTCTGCAATGGATGTTTTTCTTTTGATAACACACAACCTGTTCCATTGAGTGAGCTCCTCCTGATCTCAGCCCCCTTAGGCAAATGCAGCATAATTTTATGCAGTTCCCAGTAGGAAAGCTTTTGGATTTTTGCCCTGGCTAGGTTGGTTGTACAGAATTCTCCCTGGGTTATTTACTCCTTTTAGTTTAGATACAGGAACAAACCCCAGGGTCAGTCTCCCAAAACCTCGCTGATTTCAGAAAGTCTTCTGTTTCAGGGATTTGGTCGAAGATAACAACGGGAGAGTAAGAAGCAAGGACATTCTCATATACAGCAGGTGTGCTGAAGACTTGGCCAAGTATAACCTGTTACCGGATGCATTTCAGTTGCAATCACAATATGGTTTGAGAAAGAGATAACAAGGTGTAGAGCTAGATGAATACAGCAGGCCAAGCAGCATCAGAGGAGCAGGAAAGCTGAAGTTTCGGGTCTGGACCCTTCTTCAGAAATGGGGGAGGGGAAGGAGATTCTGAAATAAATAGGGAGAGAGGGGGAGGCGGATAGAAGATGGATAAAGGAGAAGACAGGTGGAGAGGAGACAGACAGGTCAAAGAGGTGGGGATGGAGCCAGTAAAGGTGAGTGTAGGTGGGGAGTTAGGGAGGGGATAGGTCAGTCCAGGGAGGACGGACAGGTCAAGGGGGTGGGATGAGGCTGGTAGTTAGGAGATGGGGGTGGGGCTTGAGGTGGGAGGAGGGGATAGGTGGGAGGACAGGTTAGGGAGGCGGGGACGAGCTGGGCTGGTTTTGGGATGCGGTCAGGAGAGGGGAGATTTTGAAGCTTGTGAAGTCCACATTGATACCATTGGGCTGCAGGGTTCCCAAGCGAAATATGAGATGCTGTTCCTGCAATGTGATGCAATGTGACTACTTTTGATCAGTATAAAATTGTGGAAGGGTCATCAACGATGCTGTCAAGTGACACTGAGTAATAACCTACTCGCTAACACTCAAGTTGAGTTCTGTCAGGGACACTCAACTCCTGACCTCAATATAGCCTTGGTCCAAACATGAACAAAGGAGCTGAACTCCAGAAGTGAGGTGAGAGGGACTGCTTTTGGCATCAAGGCAGCATTTGACTGAGCTCTAAGGAGCCCTAACAAAGCTGGAGTCAATAAGAATCATGGGGAAAGAGTTCCTTAAGGTGTCCACTGCCCAAACATCTTCAACTACTTCATCAATGACCACCCTTCCATCATGAGGTGGAAGTGAGGATCTTCCCTGAAGGATGCAGATGGCCAAAAGGCCCTCCGCTTCCTCCTGTCCCACATGCCCGACCAGTCCCCCTCCACTGACACCCTTATTCCGCTTAGCTGAACTTGTCCTCACCCTTAACAACTTCTCCTTCAATTCCTCCCACTTCCTACAGACAAAGGGGGTGGCCATAGGTACCCACATGGGCCCAAGCTGTGCCTGCCACTTTGTAGGATACATGGAACAGTCCCTCTACCGCAGCTACACTGGCCCTATCTCCCACCTGTTCCTCCGTTACATCAATGACAGTATCGGCGCCGCCTCGTGCTCCCACGAGGAGCTTGAACAGTTCATCCACTTCACTAACATCTTCCACCCCAACCTTAAGTTCACCTGGACCATCTCCGATACCTCTCTCTCCTTCCTGGACCTCTCTGTTTCCATCTCTGGCAACCACCTGGAAACCGATATCCATTTCAAGCCTACTGACTCCCACAGCTACCTAGAGTACACCTCCTGTCACCCACCTTCCTGCAAAAAGGCCATCCCCTATTCCCAATTCCTTCGCCTCCACCGCATCTGCTCCCAAGATGAGGCATTCCACTCCCGGGCACTCCAGATGTCCTTGTTTTTCAAGGACCGCAACTTCTCTTCCACAGTGGTCGAAAACGCCCTCGACCACGTTTCCCGCATTTCCCACAACTCATCCCGCACACCCTCTCCCCACAATAACAACCAAAACAGAATCCCACTCATCCTCACGTGCCACCCCACCAACCTCCGGATCCAACGCATCATCCTCCAGCACTTCCGCCATCTGCAATCCGAACCCACTACCATTTCTCCCTCCCCAGCCTTATCAGCTTTCCGGAGGGACCACTCTCTTCGGGACTCCCTTGTCCGCTCCCCACTCTCCTCCAACCCCACCACACCCGGCACTTTTCCCTGCAACCGCAGAAAGTGCTACACCTGCCCCTACACCTCCCCCCTCACCCCCATCCCAGGCCCCAAGAAGACCTTCCACATCAAACAGATGTTCACCTGCACATCTGCTAATGTGGTATACTGCATCCGCTGTACCCGATGTGACCTCCTCTACATCGGGGAAACCAAGCGGAGGCTTGGAGCCCGCTTTGTGGAACATCTACACTTGGTTCACACCAAACAACTGCACCTCCCAGTCGCGAACCATTTCAACTCCCCCTCCCACTCCTCAGACGACATGTCCATCCTGGGCCTCCTGCAGTGCCACAACGATGCCTCCCGAAGGTTGCAGGAACAGCACCTCATATTTCGCTTGGGAACGCTGCAGCCCAATGGTATCAATGTGGACTTCACAAGCTTCAAAATCTCCCCTCCCCCGACCATATCCCAAAACCAGCCCAGCTCATCCCCGCCTCCCTAACCCCTCCTTCCTCCCACCTATCCCCTCCTCCCACCTCAAGCCCCACCCCCATCTCCTACCTACTAGCCTCATTCCGTCCTCCCTGGACTGACCTATCTCCTCCCTACCTCCCCACCTACACTCACCTTTACTGCCTCCATCCCCGCCTCTTTGACCTGTCTGTCTCCTCTCCACCTGTCTTCTCCTTTAATCTTCTATCCATCTCCCCCTCTTTCTCTATTTATTTCAGAATCCCCTTCCCCTCCCCCATTTCTGAAGAAGGGTCCAGACCCGAAATGTCAGCTTTCCTGCTCCCCGAGACGACTGCAGATGCTGGAGATCAGAAGTAAAAGAAAGTACTTGAGAAACTCAGTAGATCTGGTAATATCTGTGGAATGAGAAAGAGAGTCCTGAATTAATGTCACATTAGAATTCAGTTTCTCAAGCACTTTCTGTTTATATTTCATATACCCTTAGGATATTATTGATTAAAGCATATGATAGTTCTTGCTGAAGAATCAGGAACTGATATATGCATAGAGTTCAGTTATGGAGCTGCAGTAAGATCAGGAGAATTCCAGGCTAACAAGTCTTAATGAACTGGAGTAACTCTCACTTTCCTAATTATGTATCCTTTTCACCCATGTCTGTGAAATACAATCCTCGTTCGAAGAATATTTGAGCATGTAGATAAGAAGGTGTATGTTGGGGTGAAATGTGTATGAAACCACAGTAATGTGACATTGTAGTCTGATGGAATTGCTTATAAATAAACTACTAAATGAATATAATCTTGCATTTTAATAAAACATCATTGTCTGATTATTTTTATCAGGTGGTTTGAGCCTTTTGCCATTGATTGGCTGGATGAAAATGAAGTTGTATCAATGGACTTTCTTCATGGAGCACTTGAGAGAGATAAGAAAGATGGGGCAAGTGTCAAATTCATTTTCTTGCTTATCCCACAGATAAAACGCAACACCTTCTGAATATTTTGTGACTTTTTTTTACAGTAACCAGGAATGTTATTTTTTTGAAATAGATTGTAAATTACATTTGACAAATTTCTCTCATTTATTTTAAGGGCTTAGCTATTATCCAATTTGTATTTTTTCTAATCTAGTTCCAGCAAACTTCAGAACATGCTCTGTTCTCTTGCTCCGTCGTGGATGTCTTCACTCAACTGAATCAAAGTTTTGAGATTATCAAAAAGCTTGAATGTCCTAATCCGGAGGCACTGGCACATTTCATGAGAAGATTTGCTAAGGTACGTGCATTTATAATCTTTACAAGTCTTACAATGTTTGAAAAGTGGTGTGTTCTGTGGTTGTTACTACATTTGTGTAGCTTCAGTTGTCAGTAAACGTTACTGTGCTTTCTCCCCTGGGTTCTAATTACTCTACTTTGACAGATATATACAAAAAAAACCTTTTCAAAATGTTTTCACAATCCAAAAGACATTCAATCAGATTAACTTCACAATAACTATAAAAACTCGGCAAAAAATGCAGTCTTTAGGTTTACAAATATAAATTTTATTTCTCATGCTGTGTTTGAACTAAATAAATATTTATTGCACTATCATTATCTCGAAAAAGAAATCACCGGGAATTTAAATGAATGAAATTTGGTGATCATATTTTTCACTTTCATTGCAGACCATATGCAAAGTTCTCCTCCAATATGCTGCTATTATCTCAAAAGATTTCCACCTCTACTGTTCCAAGGAAAAAGTGGTAGGTATAGATGCGTACATGAACTGTGAACCCAATCCTATGCTGTCAAGATGTATTACCAAAGCTAATGCAGGATATTGGCACAACAGAAGTGTATTTTTACTTTTCACAAATCAAATTGTAAGCACGATTGGTAAATCATGAATGGTTTGTCTGTCAAATGACCATTTCTGCCCTACTAATTGCAAATGAGTTTATTGCTGGCAGTGTTAATGAGGTCCCTCTGAGTTTCCGTTTCTGGAATGTTAGTTTTAAGTTTGTAATTATAGAACTCATTGTTTATTTTTCGTACAATACCTACAGTGTGGAAACAGGCCATTCAGCCCATCCAGTCCACACCAACCCTCCAAAGAACATCCAACCCAGACCCATCCTCCCATCCTATCCCTGTCACCCTGCATTTCCCATGGCTAGTCCACCTATCCTGCATATCTCTGGACACTATGCACAATTTAACATGGCCAACCCCACTAACCTGCACATCTTTTAATTGTGGGAGGAAACCGGAGCATCCGGGGGAAACCCACATGGACATGGGAAGAATGTGCAAAACTTCACAAATACAGTCGCCCGAGGGTGGAATCGAACTCCGGTCCCTGGTGCTGTGAGGCAGCAATGCTAACGACTGAGCCACCGTGCTTTCCATTTTTTATTCAATCATAGGATTGTAAAATTGCATGAACCGCAAAATGGACCTTAGAAATTTAGATTTAATTTTTAGATTTGAGTTTTCCCAGCCTCTGTGTGACACCAGACCCACAACAATGTGGTTGACTGCCCTCCAAAATGGCCTAGCAAGCTATGCAATTGTATCAATCACTCAAAAGGAAAAGAAGGAATCTTTACCAATCTGCCAGTCACAGACGCATCTGCACAGTCCGTGTGGAGATAAAGTTCCATTGAAAGTACACTCCCTTGTGTTATGTGGCACTATCACTGTGCAAAATGGGACAGATGTCAGACAGACCTAGCAACTCCAAACTGGGCATCCATAAGGTGCTGTGGGCCATCAACAGCAGCAGAATTGTATTCCAGCACAATCTGTAACCCCATAGCCCAGCATATCCCCCACTCAACCATTACCATCAGGCCAGGGGATCAACCCTGGTTCAATGGAGAGTGCAGGAGCCCATGCCAGGAGCAGCACCAGGGATAACTGAAGATGAGGTGTCAACCTGATGAAGCCACCAAGCAGGACTACTTGCACACCAACAACAGAACCTGCAAATGATAGACAGCGCTAAATGATTCCACAACAAATGTCATCCTGCTACAAACAGTTGTGAATGATGTTGAATGTGAATGAACGGTTCTGAATTAAACAACTCTTTGGAGGAAGAGGCTCCACAAATATCCTCATCCTCAATAATAGGGCAGCCCACTAATGTAAGAGATAAAGTTGAAGCATTTGCAGCAATTTTCAGCCAGAAGTGCTGAGTTGATGACCCATCTCCTCTTCCATAGGCCCCCAGCAATACAGATGGCATTTCTTTAGCCCATTCAATTCACTGCATATTGACTGGAGGCTGCAAAGGCTATGGGCACCAACAACGTTCCAGCAACAGTGTTGAAGACTTATGCCGTACAGCTGTGATGGGTAGCATGGTGGCTCAGTGGTTAGCACTGCTGCCTTGCAACAGCAGGGACCCAGGTTCAATTCCACCCTTGGACAATTGTGTAAAGCTTGCACATTCTCCCTGTGTCTGTATGGGTCTCCTCCAGGTGCTCTGGATTCCTCCAACAGTCCAGAGATGTGCAGCTTAGGTGGATTGGTCATGCTAAATTGCCCATACTGTCCAGGCTAGGTGGATTAGTGCTGGGAAATGCAGGGTTATGGGGATAGGGTGGCGTGCTGGGTCTGGGTGGGCTGCTGTTCAGAGGGTCAGTGCAGATTTGATAGGCTGAATGGCACTTTTCCGCACTGTAAGGATTCCAACCTGCTGCCTCCACACTCAGGCAGTGCATTCCACATCCTAACCGTTCCTTATGTAAAGCCATTTGGTCTGAATTTGCCTTTAATTGTTTCACCAACAACCTCAAGCCTCTGTCCCCTGCTTCCTGATCCTGATAGAAACAGTTTCTCTCTATCTAATCTGTCTAGACCTTTCATGATTTTAACATCTCTGTCCAATCCTTTCTCAACCTTGTTTGTGGAAAGTAGGTCCACCTTCATTCCATTTATTTGTCAACACAAATAATATCTGAACAGGTTTTGTTCAAGGTTTACAAGCAGCTCCTCACAATAGAATGAATTAATAGCATTTTGCAGATTCCCACTGGACATATGGCAAATTGTTTCAATAGGTTAAAGTAATTATATGCTGTGATTAGAATATGGAAGTGAAGTGACCAGTATCAGGGAGGTCCTTAACTGTGAATTTGTCAAAATTCTCAAACAAATGCTCATATTTTTCTGTGTGTTGCTCATTACAAGTGATCATTTTCTTCTTGTTATTTAATTTGGGCTTAAGTGTCCTTAGTTCCATTTCTGCCCTAATGTAATGATTAAACAAACAATGTAATATAAGCCTTGGATGTTTCTCCTCCATAACAAGGGGGGGCACGGTTTCAAAATCAGGAGTCTCCTGTTTAAGATAGAGATGACAAGGAATATCTTCTGGACGAGGGTCGTTAATCTTTAGGAATTCTGTCCCTCAGAGCGATGGACCACTGGGTCATGGAACATATTCAAGGCTGAGTTAGAATTTTGATGGACAGGCCAGTCAAGGGTAATGGGGGTGCACCCAGGAAAGTGGAGCTAAGACCACAATCAGTTCAGTCAGTCCCAAAGAAGGGTCACCGTACTCGAAATGTTATCTCTGTTTTTGCTCCACAGAGGCTGCCAGACCTGCTGAGCTCCTCCAGCAGTTTCTGTTTTTGTTTCAGTCATGATCTTATTGACTGGCAGACCTTAAGGAGTCAAGTGGCCTACTCCTGCTCCTATTTCATACGTTCTTACATCAGACTTCCTGGCTCCAACTTTGCAAACCTCATCAGAAATGCACAAAATCAAAGATTTCCAAAAGTCGTTTTGTTCACAGAGACCACAACAAGGTAACATTAACTGACCAATGATACTCTTTAAAACAACTCTTCATAAAGTGCTTTCTCTTGAAATGCTTTCAATGCAGAAAGACATAAAAACTCACCAAAGAGGCACAATGGAAGGGAAGATTCTTAACCATTTTCGGGAGCTAAGAGAAATAATGTGATGATAAAGATCAGAAAAGAAGAAACGGAAGGGTTTAGAAAGCAACTTCTAGAGAGTCAGACGAAGAGACTGAAGGTTCTGCCAGAGTTGCGGGAAGAAGGGAAGACAGAGATGCACACCAAGCCAGAGTAAGAGATGCAAGGAGGGAGTGCAGAGCTGATGGATGGTGTGAAGAAAGATGACAAGCATTGCAAACTGTACATACTCAAGTAACAATCAATCTTGCTAAGAGTTAACCCCAATATTTTGCCCCCAAAAATCCTCAGTTTTTCAGTTATCACACATATAAGGCAGGCCACAGAGTTTAGCCCCAAAATCCATAACTTTATCATTAACTGGTAGGTAGTCTGGGAAGCCCATCCTCTGTGAATTCAGAACTACAGCAAGCAATCAATCTCTTTGCTACTGTTGGTCGCTCGGTACTTCCAATGACCCAGCTTGCATTACAAAGCCTTGAAATATTAAGACGGTATAACATAGGAGCAGCAGTAGGCCATTCAGCCCATTGAGTCTTCTGTGCCATACAGTAATCTGACAATCCTCAACTCCACTTCCTTTCTTTTTCTCCGTAATCCTTGATTCCCGTACTGATTAAATGTCTGTCTATATCAGCCTTGAATATACTTAATGACCCATTCTCAACATCCCACTGTGGTAAAGAATTCCATAGATTCACCACACTCTGAGAAGAAATTCCTCCTCATCTCTGTCTTAAATGTGCAACTCCTTATTCTGAGATAATGCCGCCTGCTCCTAGACTCTCCAACAAGCAGAAACAACCTTCCTACATGTGCCCTGTCCATTCCCAGATTTCTTACGCAAAAGTTAACCTCCTATGTTTTGCCTAAAATTACAGCCTCAAAAACTTGAATCTCACACAAACATATGTGGCATTTATAAAAATCTGTGTATTAGCAGGAGCCAGAAGGAAGGAAATGTCTGATAATTGTATTGATGCAAAAGGAAATGCCCATTGTTGTTTGGTGTCCCCAACTGTGCACATATTGGGGGGGAATAGTATTTTGTTCATGCAACTTAGAATGAGGTGTAGTGAATCACAGTTGTTGCTGCGTGAATATTTATTGATAGCATCAATCATCAAGTAGTCTGCATCAGTAAAATAATCCAATCCTCCACATTTCACTGCTTTACTTGCAATTTGGTTCTTTGCTTTAAATTCAAACAAGCACTTGGATAGTATATGCTCCTGAGGAAATATTGATGTCTTAACCACATGAGCAAATCAGATAACAATCAAGTTTGGAGGTGAAACCTTAGAATAACTTTAAAAACCTTTGGTTGTTCCCATTGGTGTCTGAAATATTTTGAGTAGCCACAAATTCAGTTCATTTCTAATTAAAGCAGATGTTTTATGGTGATAGGTAGGTCAGAGTAGGTCACTTTTAATGGCCCATTTACTCCCCTAGAAGAAAATTGGTGATTGAAACAATATCACATTGACTTTTTAACAACAGAGAGAGAGAAAACACATGAAGGAGATCATTTGTTCTAATGTCTGCAAAGTCCCAACTAACAATGAAATGAAATAAATTGTTCAACCATGTTAAATGGTATCATATATTTTCAGAAAGGATTGGAAATTGTTGCTCCTCAAAGAATTTTGATTTTGCAGGGATTGTCCCATGTATTTCCTGTTATATTCCATTGTTTAACTCAACAGCTCTTTTTATCCCTGATTTCAAATAGTCTTGTTCAGATGTTATTTTTCTTTGTTCCTGACCTAAAGATATTGACTCATGCCGTGTAATATTTCCAAAGCCAATGTGCT